GAACTCTGGTCCATGGGCTGTAAGCCGCAAATACTCTTCCGCAAAGTCCAAACAATGCCCTTTAGCTGAAATACCGACCCTGACGGGAACTCCTGCCACTTATTTCAAGCAAAAGCCTTTCCAGGATTACTCCCATGGAACAAGACAACAGCTAAGAGAAAACTATCTCTATATAACGCTGATCCTGATCTGCAACACCTCCACCTCAAGCGGACCGGGGGGTCCCTAAGGGGCAAAAGCATGAAACACCACGGGCGCAAAATGACAAGGGGACAGGACGAAAACTCGGCCTACTGCTTTTCCGTCAGTCTTTTAAGCCAGAAGCAGCATGCTTAGCACGGCTGACACGCCCACGTCCGCCCCACAAAAGGTCACTCCTCGACTTGTATTTCCTGCAGGAAACTCATATACAGCTAAACTCTCCCCACCAGGCTACGTCTTAGCTGCCGTAATGAAACTTCCAAGTCTTGCAAAAAGCCCAAAAGTCAATGCCACGCCTAGCGTTCGACCTGGTGCTTAGGTGGAGTGACGTCACAACTTTCTGACCAATCCGTGCACTCACTTCTATCGGCGCAATTTCTCGCCCTGCATGTTGGTTTCCCAGACAAGCGTCGACCTTCCGGAGAGGGCGCTCCAAGGCAATGGCCAGCGGCACCAGAAGCAGCCAGCGACGCGCGCGCAGGACGCAGGGTCTTAATTAAAACAATCTTTAAAAGATTGGCTTCTCTACTCGAAGAATTGGACTCCTCTCAGGTTAGAGAGGCTCACGCAACACTGCTTGTCCTTCTAAGCGCCCTGCAACTCACAGTGTCCTCTTTCCAACGTTTGGGAAAACGCATAGAGTTTTCCTTGACGGACAAGCCGCTCGGGCTAAACAGCGGCCCCCCCTGTTTCGGCCAATCCCGCAAATCCTACCCTTCGGTGGCCTACCCTGCCTGTGTGGGCGAAAACGTCACAGTGAGAAACATTTGAAACATTTGACCCTCCAATTGCCATCTTAATCAAGTGGAGCTCCCTTTCTGAGTGCCCAGCGACGATTCTCGCTTTTCCGCTCCGCCAAATTAGAAGCCGCACAAATCCTAAGCACGGCCCTCTATAAACGATTTGTTTGATTTGATTTTCCTGTCCCCGCCCACGAACCGAGGTCCCTCGTTGACTTGCCATCCGCGCGTTTGAATCATGCGCGCTCTTGCTTTTCAAAGAAGCAGCCCCGTTTTCGCCTTCTTCGCTTCAACATGCTTCAACAACTTCACAGTCATTTGAAGCGTGTGTCCTTCAAATAGAGGAGTCCCCTTTGTGACATGTCTAAATGTCAGCCATTCTACCTTCCGCCGACTAGGCGTGGCGTGTTGGAGGTGTCTGCCTCCTGTTTCACTCCCCCGGACGGCACTTTGGTTTTGCATGCAGACCTCTCTTATCGTGTCCGCCTTCTTCGCTTCAACACCTTGCTCACTGCAGACAGCACTTTCGGCTCAAGACCTCTCTTCTTTTCGTTTCAAGCCCTTGCTCTTCGTCGTGCACGGCACTCTGGTTAACCCGTGCTTTTCGATTATTTCGGCTTCTCGGCTTGGCGCTGCTTCTCGGCTTCTCGGCTTGTCTCTAGGCGATCTTTCTCTCGGCTTCGAGTTTCGTCCTCGCTCCCATTTTCGGCTTCGAATTTCGACTTCGCTCCCATTTTTCCGCTTCGCCCCCATTTTCGGCTTCGCGAATTTCGGCTTCGAATTTCGTCTTCGCTCCCATTTTCGGCTTCGCCCCCAATTTCGGCTTCGCATTTCGGCTTCGAATTGTGTCTTCGCTCCCATTTTCGGCTTCGCACCATTTTCGGCTTCGACTATTTGCCGTTCCGAATTTCGTCTTCGCAATTGTGTCTTCGCCCCCCCCCTCTGAAAAGTGGACCCCCCCAGCCGTGTCAATGCATATATGTACATATGTAGATCTGTACATAAATGCATAGTTGTTTGCGTATGTGTATGCGAGAGGTTCGTGCCTCCAGAGGTTGTAAATTTCGTATGAACTCATGCCCCTTTTAATGCGAACCAAAGTGAACAGGTACAACAATCACTTGCTGCAGGCCAGCCGAGCCACAAACCCGCCAGTCTTTACCAATGCTTTTTCTCCAGCAGCAACGAGTTAAGTCCCTTTCAACAAGCGCGATGTTTCGGGTGGCTGGATTGCGGTCAAGTTGAAGGGGGAACCAGAGAAGGAACAAATCACGACATGACATGTAAGCTTCTCGAGGGCACGGTTAAGGTAAGACCGCAAAAATAGGCAAGCACCAAGACAGGTCCGTTTGTGTGAGTACAAGACTGGCGCCATGATTCCCCAAGTGTGCACAAAGTAAACAATGCTCATTCCTGCGGTTTCAATTGTCACAAAAAAAGAACGCAGGGACTAAAATATTCGTTTCTGGAGCTTTGTGTTTGTTGTCTTCCTTGTAGTGTTGACGTGTTCTCCTGAGCTGCAAAAACACCCTCCCACAACACGGATTTCTGATATGTATGTTTATATGTATATATGTATCATGCAGATCTCTTCCCTCTCATCACCCCACAAAAAGGTGACTCATCCCAACATGACCCAGCACCTGATGTTTAACTCAACGGCATTCCAAAAGACCTATCTTCAAAGGGCCAGTGGAGCCCGCGGAGTGGTGACAAACATCGCGCCTGCGTAGGCCCAATTAAAGGCGTCGAACAAAAACATCTCGGCTTGTTCAACTACCCTGGTAAATGGAACAAAGCCCGTTTTAAACCAGTAAAAGCTCATCTATGTCCAACCCCAAAAAGAAAGTCCAACCCAAACCAACCCTAAAAAGCACACCTGTGCTACCATGACCTGACATAACCGGCCCCCCAAAAAAAAATCCCGGATCGCTCCCCTATGGCACCGGCTCAGAGACACCACGCCGCCCACCTCGGAGTGACGCGTTTCTCAAGGACGTCTGTCCATCGAAAATTCTTGACCCCCAAACAAATCGACCCACCAGGTTATTCATAGGGGGTGGGGGTTCTCCAAAAGTGGTCGGCCACCCCTAAAAATGAAACGGGGTTGATTTATGTGGGGTCAACATTAGACTGGAAATCAGGGACACGTTGCTAAAGCTCCGGGTGATCTGTTTATCTGATTGGTGGGCTGGTGTCCTTTGGTTCCCCTCTAAAAGCCACCCAGAAAAAAATTGGTGCCACGGAACAACTGAGCAAACGCCAGACAAAGGCGACCCCGTTTACCCACCAAAGAAAAAAGGGTGTGTCAAATGGCTCGAGACAAAACAACTGAGCAGGCCATCGCTTGCATGCGGTGACTAGCGCGAAGCAGAACTATTCTCCGGCCTCTGCACACAATCCAATGTGGATTGGCAACATCCACTTCACACCAGTAGGCGGTGTGTCCCAGTATTCACAGGGCTTCATCTATCCCAACTGGTGCCAAAGAGACAAAAAGGAATGAATGGTGCCACGATGGAAGTCCAAGCATGTCCAAGCGCTCCCCTGCGTTTCCCAAGTAAAACCTGGCGCCCGGTTTAAGAGCTTGCTCGGAGAACTCGGGGTGTCAGGCTAGCTCAGTTGCAACCAAAGAAATATGATCGATGGTCCAGATTTGACGAGCGAACCTTCAAATGTGAAAGCAAAACTCGGCGGGAGATCCCTTTAAACTGCTATGTCATGATTCCTTCGGGGGAAGGTCTCCAAGTCGCGTGAGGAGAAAAAACGAACGTGGGTCTCTAGGTATCCATAATTCCTCCGCTCGGGACGTCTCAAAGTCGGGCGAGGAAAAACAAATCGCGGGCTCCTCTTGAAAAGTCTCCAAGTCGGGTGAGAGCAATACGATCGTAAATCGCGTTTAAAACGCGCCTGAATCGCGACGGAAGCGCCAAAAACTGCCCAAAAGCTGTCTCAACGGGGAACTTCAGGAGGTCTTCCCAAGTCAGCCCCCGAAGCCAAAAGCCGTGGGAGCCAGGCGCGTAAGACCCACAGACCTGGGCCCCCAGACGTTGTCCGGGTACGGCACACTCCAGCCCCAGCACCTCCAAGGCCCAAGGCGCAAGGCGCAAGGCGCAAGGCACCGAGCGAGCCCACCCCACCCATTCCGTCCGAAGCGGGAGGGCCCGGGGGGGGGGGGGGGGTTTCGTTTGTTGTATTCTTTTCACTGCCGATCCAGTGGATGGCCCAAAAACGTCACCAAACTTTGTGTAGGCCACTGGAATGCTCGTCCCAAAAGGTATGTCACATGTCCATGAACTCGGGCAGTGAGTAGTTGTTGATGGGCTCCACAAAAGGATGCCAATCAATTGCAATCATTTGCGGGTCTGCGCGAAGAGCCATGTTGAAGTGATCCAATTTACCAAGGATTCATGCGCCCAACATCAAGGCATCTTATTGTCCGGTCATTTCACTTACATGTTGAGACAGCTGAGACTGCTAGGCAAAGTTGTAACTGTTTAAGCTCAAAGGATGCTGAAACCTCGCAGCAAAAGTAAAGCTTGCACACTAAGCGGGTAAATGGACATCAGGTGTCTGCCTTGCAGTGAAAAACAATGGGCAACACAACTTTGGACTAGCCACCAGGGTGACTAGTCGGGGCATGACTTATTGCCAACCATGGAACATGCACAAATGGGAGCCCTTTACCGATGTGCACCCCCTCCTGAATTGCATTTATTGACGAGCGGCAATCCCTCAAGCACTCTGGTCAAAATTCCTGCCGGCTCGGATGGCAAAATGAGGGAAGCGATGCTTGGGACGCAGGAACAAAACTGCTTTGGACCGCAGACCCAACAATTCACGGCTTTGAGACACGCGCGGGGGTCCCAAAAACCCGCCGGTTCACAGGTTACATTCAAGACGCCCTCCACGCGCGCTACCAGTCGGCTGCCCTGCAACCAGTCGCCCAAGCGAAAGATAGTGTCAGTCAATAGCTTGTGATGGCTATTAATGGATGATGGCTATTAATGGCTTATGATGGCTGTTCATGGCTTATGATGGCAATGTTGATTATGACTGTCAGACGCCGAGAAGCGCCAGATTTTCTCGGACACCGCCAGCTGACCCCTTGGCCAGAGGCCCCTGCTCGATCTCTCCTGAGAGCTGGTTGGGCCATTGGCACCAGCCATAGTCCACCACCGGAGTTGGCCTGTCGCCCCGAACCGAATGAAGTGGTTCGTTCCCCCTGCATGTAACTACTTTCTCACTTAGGTTTTGTGTTTTGGCACGGTTCAACATTACGACCTTTCATGCAACATTATCCCTGCATGTAACTACTTTCTCACTTAGGTTTTGTGTTTTGCAACACGGTTCAACATTACAACCTTTCATGCAACATTATCCCTGCATGTAACTACTTTCTCACTTAGGTTTTGTGTTTTGGCACGGTTCAACATTACAACCTTTCATGCAACATTATCCCTGCATGTAACTACTTTTCTCACTTAGGTTTTGTGTTTTGCCACGGTTCAACATTACAACCTTTCATGCAACATTATCCCTGCATCTAACTACTCTCTCACTTAGGTTTTGTGTTTTGGCACGGTTCAACATTACGACCTTTCATGCAACATTATCCCTGCATGTAACTACTTTTCTCACTTAGGTTTTGTGTTTTGCCACGGTTCAACATTACAACCTTTCATGCAACATTATCCCTGCATCTAACTACTCTCTCACTTAGGTTTTGTGTTTTGGCACGGTTCAACATTACGACCTTTCATGCAACATTATCCCTGCATGTAACTACTTTTCTCACTTAGGTTTTGTGTTTTGCCACGGTTCAACATTACAACCTTTCATGCAACATTATCCCTGCATCTAACTACTCTCTCACTTAGGTTTTGTGTTTTGCCACGGTTAAACATTACAACATTTCATGCAACATTATCCCTGCATGTAACTACTTTCTCACTTAGGTTTTGTGTTTTGGCACGGTTCAACATTACAACCTTTCATGCAACATTGTGCCTGCATGTAACTACTTTCTCACTTAGGTTTTGTGCTTTGGCACGGTTCAACATTACAACCTTTCATGCAACATTATCCCTGCAGGTAGCTACTTTCTCACTTAGGTTTTGTGTTTTGGCACGGTTCAACATTACAACCTTTCATGCAACATTATCCCTGCATGTAGCTACTTTCTCACTCAGGTTTTGTGTGTTGGCACGGTTCAACATTACAACCTTTCTCACTTAGGTTTTGTGTGTTGGCACGGTTCAACATTACAACCTTTCATGCAACATTATCCCTTGCATGTAACTACTTTCTCACTTAGGTTTTGTGTGTTGGCACGGTTCAACATTACAATCTTTCATGCAACATTCTCCCTGCATGTAACTACTTTCTCACTTAGGTTTTGTGTTTTGGCACGGTTCAACATTACAACCTTTCATGCAACATTGTCCCTTGCATGTAACTACTTTCTCACTTAGGTTTTGTGTGTTGGCACGGTTCAACATTACAACCTTTCATGCAACATTATCCCTTGCATGTAACTACTTTCTCACTTCGGTTTTGTGTGTTGGCACGGTTCAACATTACAACCTTTCATGCAACATTATCCCTTGCATGACTTTCTCACTTAGGCTTTGTGTGTTGGCACGGTTCAACATTACAACCTTTCATGCAACATTATCCCTTGCATGTAACTACTTTCTCACTTAGGTTTTGCGTGTTGGTACCACGCATGTCACGGATTGCCCTGAGCCGCCTGGCTCTTGTATCTCACTCGCCCCTTCAAACCTGTTCTCTTCGGGGTGGGTCAGCTCGGTCCATGGAAGTGACATCCTTCAAGCTACCCAAGTTTCAGCCATTTTCGGAGCAAACATCCGGCAAGCATGACTCCTTTCAGCTAGCCCTGAGATTCCGCTGGGTGCCGGTGCCCTTGATGAGTTAAAAACCCTTGCGAGCAAGGCCCAAGCTGCAAACCCGCCGCTCACCAGTCCGGGAGTCCGAATCCTATTCGTATTGGGACGCCACGACAAGGCAAACCACCGCCATCTGGCATTGGGACTACGCTTCGGTTCTGAACTATTTAGGTAAAAGGACTGACGAACCCGGCAACGATGCTCCCCACTTGGGATCTGAAACGGATCTTTCAAAGCAGAACGCAGCCAGCCCAGGCCACTGGCTTCCGAAACAAAGCACACGCAACAAAGCGGCTTCTTCTGCGGCAGGTGAACTTGGAACCCCACAGGTCCCTTGAAGACACAACATATCAAATTATACACTCCCTCAGACTAACATGGAAGCTGCCAAAAGGCGTCTGTAAACGGAACCAAGTCTTCCAAAGGAGTCCTGGGAGCTTCCATGTTCGGGGGGAGGGTACTTCCAGGTGCCCTCTCACAGGTGCTGCGTCAGTGGAACTTGGCAATGGAACTTGTCCTGTTCTTGGTTGCTGCAACGACCCCTCTGCAAACAGTTGAATCACTTTTCGTGAGCTTAGTTCAAAAAACCCAACTTGATTTCAACCAAAAAGTTAAAGTCTAAAGATCCGTTGCCCAATAGCAGTTTCAAGTCTTGTATCCAGCCCTTCCGACTCGAAGCGGAGTCAAAAAACCACCGAACGAAGACTGGGCGTCCGGCAGGATATCGATGTCGTGCATGACCACCTCGATTTCTTTAGGGCCCAAAAAGGCGGTTTCACATGGCCATTTGTCAAAACCCAATAATTGCAGTGAACATCCCAATCCCCACTTAAATAGACCAAAATGGGTGGCACCTATCCCAAAATGGTAACATTGGTGTTGAACCATGGCCACATACCCCCAAGATGCAGGCCTCAGAAAAAGACGCGTTGTTCAAATCGACAAGTACCCGGATGCCTTTATTCTGGTTGACCTAAAATCCCTACGGGGGTCTATGACCCCTAGCAATCGCAAGTAATGTTGTGTTTTGACCTTGGCACTCATGGGTGCGTCTTGTTTTGAGGGTACTCCTTTTTTGGTCGGTTGCGAAGGGAAACCAAAATTAAAACCACAATCTTGGGGGATCCCCTGGCCCACGCGGACAAGAGCAACTTCAGGAGTTGACTTGGGCCCGTTGAATGGGTGACATCGTACCTGGAACCTCAAAGAGGAACCTATTATCACAAGGCCGGCTAACACAACTTCCTGACCGTTGTTAAGAACGAGCCCCACCACTCGCTGCTCAGTCGGAGAAGTTGGATGGCTGGGGCAATCAGCTGCATGTTGCCAACACGCAATAAGCAAATAGGACGTATTCACGCAAAGCAGCAGATAGTAAGAGATCATTGCTTGAACTGGCAGTACTCCCTCCTTTTGTTTCCCCCTTTGAAGATACTGTGGATGGACGAAATCCTGCACCACCAAAAGAAACCGCAAAAAGATGACTCCCCTGCAAATACCAGCAAAACTGGTTTCCCATAGCTTTACAGAGGTGCGAACGGATTTCGCATCCCTCCACAGTCTGCAAGTCGTGCAGCAAAAAACCCTGGCGAGCCGACCTGAGTCATAATCAAAACCTGGTCCGAAAATGGTGAACCCAGAACCATTTAAGGAACTGACAAGGCGCACTCCCGCACCCATTTCCGGCTGGGAATATCCCCCTGACTAACCATTATACACCTGAACATTGCCTTGTAAATGGTGGTTTCCCACTTGTTTTTGATGGAAAAAGCCATGTTTCACATGGGCAGAATGTATCTTTTAAGGAGCCCTGTTCATCCACCCGAATTGGTTTTGAGCAAGCGACTCACCCGAAATCGCACGAGGGCGGCAAGGCGCGCAGTCGAACTTCTCCCCGGTCTTCTGCTCCTCGAGGGTGGCAAAGTGGAAGCCCACGTTGAAGAGATATCCCCCTGGGGCAACCGAGGCGGCGGAAACATAGGCGGCCCTGTGGCAAATGGAACAAAACCCCATAGACCAGTGGAACCCCATCTATTTTTAACCAGGCTGAACAAAACCCATCTAGACCAGTGGACCCCCATCTATTTTTTTAAACCAGGCTCACCTAACAAGGACACCTATGGGCGGACATCAGAGCTCCGTTTTGCAGGACAAATGATGCCATAGCGCACCAAAAAAAACTGAGCCGAATGGCCAAACGGTGGGTCATTGGGGAAACCGTTTGGGGCCAGAGACGAAGACCACCCCCAAAAGAGGGCATGCTTGCGGAGCCTTGGGTCGGTGAATCGATGAATCGGTGAATCGGAAAGGAGAAACCTATCGACGATCGAGTCCCCAACGTCCCGGCCAAATGGATAGATTTGCCACCGTAGACCTGGGTAGATGAATCTCACTCCCAAACTGGAAATAAGGGAACCCCCGTGCCAGCCAAAATAGAGGGGCAAAAAAAACAATGGTGGTTCCCCAAACAAGCACACAAAGCGTAGCCTCAAACCCACACAGCGCGCGCTTTGACCCAAGCCCCGGGCGGTTGAAGAGCTGGTTGTCGAATTGCTCCACCACGAAGACCTTCCACATGTGCTTGATGCCCTTCCTGGAAGTCAGACATATGCTGCCGGCTGAACAAGGGCAAGATCTTACATCATGGTTTTGGGGCGTTCCCACTTTTTCGCATGTCAGGTGCTTGAACAAAAACTGGCCCTTGGCAGCGAAAGGCACTTGGCCTCGGCCTCCTTTTCGGTCCCAACAAGAGTTGGTTGAACACTCTCCGTGCGTGGCTCCCAAAGTCCCTGCACCTCACACCATGGTGCTGAAAGGGGCGTAGCGCCTTTTTGGATCTCGAGCCCGCCCTATGCGGTCGGTATGTGTTGCATGTGTTTGGCAAACACTTCACACAGGGGAAAAAAGAGAAAAAGTTGAACCCTGAAAATGCTCACAGTCTTTTCGAAAGCAGGCAGTCTCGACATGAGACATATGCACACATTGGTCGGCCCCTCACATGTCCACAGTCCCGCAGCCACATGAAATTCATTTCCCGGACTTCGTGACGACAATCTCGTGGGGGGCAACGATCACTCGCCTGCTTGCCTCCGACGCCGTTGCAACCATCGATTCTCGCTCCTCAGCTTCTCAATCACATTCTCTGGCACTGTCTGTGCCTCACCACTTCTTTCTTCTTGCCCTTGACATGCTGCAGCGTGATCACCGTCATGGACATCACAATGGTCAGGATCGCCGATGATCACCAGGTAAACCGCGTCGCGGACGTTCACGCTCAGGCTCTCTGCGGCCGACTTCTTCACCGCATCAGCCGCCAGCATCGCCTGCACGTAGCCAGCCACCATGCTCCCGCGGACCACATTGGTCTGATCTCCTCTTTCTCGGGCTTTCTTCTTTGCCGCAGCGAAGGTCGCATCATAGATCAGATGCAAATAGCCGCCAGCCATCGCATCCCTGCCGGGCACTCAACTTCGTTGTTCCATCAGATGACACCCATCTCATAGTGCTCCCGGTCGCCGCCATAGCGTCCTTGATGCACAGGATCTCAATCGCCGCCCGCTTGTCCTCCACAGCACTCTGAATTGCCGGTCTCCTCAACCACTCGTGCTGGCCCACGCCACTTCTGCTTCTGCAAGATGCCCGCGCCATTCTTGCGCCAGTAGTATACGACCTGCCCGATCACCACTTCATCTGCTTGTAGTTCTGACTCATCGCCCTTCTCAACTTCGCGTCGGAGTCCGCCCGGATGAAAGCCTGTTGAGCTGTCAATCGCTTCCTCTGCACGCTCGCGATGGGCTAAATAAGTCGCCCGTCAAGCTCTGCACCTGATTTGGGGAGCGGCCCATGACCCACTGGGTCGGCGTGAAGCCTTTTGTCACGCTCATGCCGTTCACCTTGCCAGGCACGTAGATGCCTGCAACAAGCCTTTTTCCGTCTTGTTCCCGGAGTCCTCCATGAACAGCTCCCAACTGCGTCTCACCACCTGCGATCTGCAACTTCTCCAGCACAGGTCTGCCAACCAGCAGGGATGCACCTCGACTTCCTCCAGGCCCACTCCATGCTTTAGAAGAAGGTACTTGACGTACTTCCTGATCTGGTACCTTGATCCAAGGAACGATGCAGCACCACCATCCTCAACTCGTCCACATCGAAGACGCCCATTTCCTCCGTGATCTCATCGCGCTGATCGTAGAAGTCCTTGTCTGCATCGAGCCACTCCGTCTCGCTCGCAAACTCAATCTCAGAACTGCGGATCTTCGCCCTTATCGGGGTCCACTTGGTAGTAGCTGTCCCAGTACTTGCCATAGAGCACGTCCTGGTCTCGCCCACCGCGGTTCCATCTCGGCTGGTCAGCCTTGCTGTCCTGGCCCACGATGAAGTACATCGCCTCTTGAGCCGCAGTGAGATTCATCTTGTCGGCGCCCATCATGGTGAGACCATCTGCCTCTGCTCCTTGGTCACTCAGCTACGGCGGATGAACCACCAAGCACAGATCTTCTCGGGCAGCTCCACGTTGTGGTTGGTCTTGAACCTCCGCAGGGTCCTCGCAAAGTCGGCCGCATTCTCCTGAAGGGTGATGCCCGGCCGTCGCTGCAGCTTCACAAAGAAATTTTCGAAGTCGTCCGGCAGCTCCGATCAGGTCGAAGCCTTTTTTCTCAGCCAGGCTCTCGATGTTGAGGTCTTCCACCAGGTCCCACGCCCGGCCTGTCAGCATCGTGATGATGTTATAGGCGGTTTCCTTGCTGCGTCCTGCCCTTGTCATCTTCTGCCTGTAGATCTCACACCGCTTCCGGAACTCCTTGTAGTCCCGCCGCTTTCCATTGACCACAGGCACGTAGTTGTCGGCTCGGCCCACGTTCACCTCTGGCGCTCCAGTGCTGCTCACCCTGGTCCGCTTCTGGCGTGGCCTCAAAGCTCCTCCTCCGAGCGAAGCCTCTCAGGCTCCGCTACCAACAACAAGAGTTGGTTGAACACTCCCGTTCAGTGGCTCGCGAAGTCCCTGCACCTCACACCATGGTTGAAAGGGGCGGATCTCGAGCCCGCCCTATGCGGTCGGTATGTGTTTCATGTGTTTGGCAAACACTTCACAGGTCCCGAAACAGGCCATTGAGAAGATTTGACTTGAAGGGACAGGTTCTGGAAAGCAAATTTCAGGAAAAACCCTCTCCCAGGACCAGAATCACCAAAAATCCAAAGGAGTCTGGGGGATCTTTTGATTCCAACGCCAGACTCCAGGTCAAGGACCATGGCTCGACGGCGCCCGAGGGCGGGAGGATGCGAGGCCCCCGCGTGGCCCAGGAGGAGATGTGCCTTGGACGACCCGGAAGGCACCTGATCCAACCAAGGAAATTCCAAGACTCGTAGGGAGTGTAAAGATTTCTTGTTCCGCAATCTTTGCTTGGCTGGCAAATTATGACAGCGATGTGTGATCTTCCTTGCTGGCTTTGCACACGTACCAACTGCTGCAGTGCAGCTAGCACTTCAAGTGTAAGAAAACAGGTCGTATTGACCGCAGCGATGTGCATTGCCAGACTTATCACTCACCTGCCCTTTGGTTCTCAGCAAAAAAAAAAAAGAAGAGTTGGAACGACCCGCGAAAAAGACCGTCCCTTGTGGTTCCCTTTGACGGAATCCCAAGGCTAATTCCCAGCACCCTGGGCAATTTATCTACTGAGCACCGGCAAGACTAGGGGTACAAAGGTTCCGAGCATTTGGGTTTCCCTTGACACACCCCAAACATGCTGCACTTTCAACAGAAAGACAACTCCATAGATCAAGCCAGAGCCATTTTTGTTGGGGCTGTTTTGAAGACGTGGCCATGCCAACAACAACCCCTCGCTGTTGACACCGAAAACCACCTGCAGCTTTGCCTTTCCCTCTCCCAGAAAGAAAGCAAGCGGGGAAAAAACTGGGAAAAAAAAGAAGATAACAAAAGATAATAAAAGATAAAAGAAAAAAAACGCTTCTCACCCCACTTTCGGGTGGCCGGCCCTGAATGCCGAAAGGATCAACGGATCTCCGGGGGTCCGGGCGACTGAATGCGGTCCCGGAACTTTTCGAGGTGCGGCCCCCGGTCCCGGAAGGGCACCTCCGACTCGGAGGGTGGGGGCTCTCTCCCTACGTTGCTGTGGGTGGAGTGCGTTTTGGTTCTTTTGCGGGCCAAAGCCCTGACAAGGGATTGGGGTATATATTATATATACCGGGTGCCGGTTGCCCTTTTTTTCCAGCTACTATTGCCAACTTATGGGCTACTAGTGGCTAAAGTGGCTGGAAAAAAGTAGCTAGCTGGGGTTCCAGGTGTATTTGTTGCTCTGTTTTTGGTGGCTCCTTGGTTGCTTTTTTTTGGGGGGGGTTGACTTCCCCCCCAAGCTCGGAGTCCTGCACCGGATTTTTTTCTTTTGGGGCGGGCTTTGGGTCAACCAAGAGCGGCCGTAAAGTATGGGCATGGAGCCCAGATGTTTAGGGGCAGCTTTGGGCGGGCAACCGGGACCCCTTGTCTGGGCACCTCAGATCCCAGAAAATGACGATCCCCTCAAGTGCGACGTCCAAGAGGGGGCCCTTGGCCCTCAGCCCGGAACCCGGAAGAAAACAAACAAACAAAACCATGGACTGGCTCCAACAGTGCAATGCGGGCAAGGCCAACATGCGTGGTGGAATCAAACAAGGGGCACCTCGCCAAACATGCGATATCACGACTAGAGCCGACTCTCCAACTCACTTTGCAGCAGCGACGGCATACTTGTTGCGCCGGCGTGCAAGCACTTGCCAAATCCTCATCCAAGCCTGGCATATCCCAGCATGCCTCTCGGCAACCTAGAAGCCAGTTTTCAATCTCTTTTGCCTGCGCCCGCACCGTTTGCCCCACATGCACCCTCCAACGCCGCACACCTAGACGCGAACTCACTGGTGCGATAGGCAGGGAATGAGAAATGGAATGACCCCGATTTGATGGTCTCTTTTAAGGGACCCCTCAGGTTCACTCCAACTCATTCCCTAGTTCTCGCACCAGCAAGTCTCTGGGTGGTCCAAACGAGGGGCACCTGTGGACGCTGAAGCAGCCTGGGGCCCCTGCCACCAGAGCGATGCGCTTGGGCGCCTGGAGGTTGTACCTTCCGGAGCGAGACAACTTAAGCGCACCTCCGGTCTGGCGCTCGGCATTGGCCGCTAAACTAGGTCCTCCAGATTTGAGAGCTTAGAATAAGTTGGTACCAACTTTTTTCTGAACGTCTGTTTTAGTAGGGGAACCCTCCCCCAAAGGAGTTGGTAAAAGGGCACTGCTGGGGGACCTAGTAAAGGAGCAACCGAGCAAACTGGGTGTGCGTCAACTGCATGTGCGTCAAAAAACTAGGCAAGAATTAGGACCCCAGCAAAATAAGCATCTTTTTTGCCTGGTTAGTGGAAAACAAAGGTGCGAATCGTAGGACTGCGACCTCTCCGTCGCCACTTAGGGGTCCATGTGCATTAAGTTGACTCGGCAATAATTCCGAAACCGCATCATCGTGACCTCGTTTTGCCTCCATGCCACAAAATTCGCAGATACCTCAGAACACTCAGGGGTAGGCTCAAGCTGAAAAGGGCACGGCTCCTGCTTCGCGGTCACCCGGTAGTCCACGCACCCCGCGCAGTTGCCTGTGAACATCGCATCCCTCGACGCGGGTTAGGCTGCATGCGCATGAAATACCTAACCATTGCTCCGTTTGGGCCGACAAAATAAACTCTGCAAATTGCAATGGATACTACAAGGGCATATGTCTGGCCCCTCCGAAAAGAGGAGCCTTTGGGATCCCTGTGCAAACTCAGGGTCGTTCCACATGGGTACCTCTTAGACTCCTTCAACAACTGGCATGCGGCTCGCGGACACGGCCGAAACGTGGATCTGCCAAAGCAAAATGAAGTGAATCCGCGTCCAAAGATACGGCAGCCAAGGGAAAAAGCTGTCTTCCCCCTTAAGTAATTAGGAAGTTCGAGGATTCACAAGTTGTCAAAACGGGAAGGGGCCGCAAAGAAAACGTCCGGCAATCGCACTTTAAACCATTTTGGCCGGTCTTGGGCTTCCATCGTGGGTCAGCTCGTTTTCGCTTGACCCCAAGGTGCGCTTGAGATACCGAGACCTTCGCTGGTACTCAAAAAAAAAAAAAAAACAGGACACCCCTGCCTTTGATAGTTCATTCTAAGGGGAAAACGATGGAAAACGGATGAAACCATTGGCGCCACTGGCAGTCTGGGTTTACTTGATTATTTTGGGCTCTGACCGAATCCTTGCCCGTTAGGTCCCAAATCTCAACTCGCCGTGCAACTGGGCTCGTCCCCCCGCTCAAAGGCGCGCCCTTCGTCCGAGCGGCAGTGCTCAGCAGTTGCTCCGCACCTTAGAGGAAACTGAAAGCCATGGTCACTTCTGTGGGCGGCCCATGGTCATGTTGCTCAAATGTGCTTCCCCAAAGAAAATCAACCAACCAGTTTATTCATAGGGGGTGAAGACCCCTCCAAAAGCACCCCCCTATTAATAAGCTGGGGTTGATTCATATGGGGCCAACAGGAAAATCACAAGGGCCCCAGGAGCTAGCAATCCATCCCAAGTAAAGGATCGCTCCTTTCGACGATGCCAAGCGCATTTCGGCGACTTCGAGTTTGGGGATGATCCGTTGAATGGGCTCTAAATGGGTTCCTTTCACCCACACACACACACAGACACACACACACACGCATACGCACACACACACGCACACACACACACACACACACACACACACACACACACACACACACACACACACATATAGACTCCGTCAACCCCGTTTCGGCCCTGTTTGATGAGAAGAACCAGAGGTGGGTGTAGCTCAAGCAGATGGCGGCTGCACTGCCGCTGGCATCAAGGCATGCCCATCTGCCGTCGCTGTCTGGGATTGTCCTAAGCCAAGTGAGTGTCACAACACCTGACGCAGGGAAGGCAAAAAGAATCAAAGATTCGACGTTCCGGTTGCGAGCTAGGCATGTTTTTTTTTTTTTTGCCTAGCCTTCAATGCTGTTTGGCATGTTGTTCTGGCGCCAGTGTTGTCCTCTGAAAACTCGCCCACGTTCGCCCTCTCCTCCCTCCCCCTTGCAGGCCCTAAACCTCCCACTTCTCCAATGAAGGCTTAAAACAGCCCTCTAGATTTGGTGCAAAATGAGTGGGTGTTAACCCGCAACAAACGGGCACCCTCAGAAAGAGACACACCCACTTCATTGGTTGATTTTTGAATGGGCCGCAAGAAGGACAAAGCAACGAAACACTTGAGATTCGAATTGCCATGTCTTCAAAGCGTGACTTCTTGCGGATCTGGGCCATGACTCCATGAATCCCCGCCCAAAGCCGAGAAAAGCCGCGGGCGCTTGGGCAGCCCCGCCAGCCCCCTGGAGAGCAGCAAGGGGCGTCGCTGTTGGGATTGCACCTGTGGCTGGGCAGGATTGCAATCCGGAAGTCTCGGAATGCAGAAATCCCCCCTACCATAAGGAGGAGGGGGGATGGGGGGTCCCCAGTTCCAGTTATCTAGTCTTCCCCTTTCAAAGGAAATGGAACCATAAATGGAATCAGGGGTCACCCCCCTCCCCCAATTCCATATTTAAGGGGGTGGGGATCTGTAGAACCTCTGCTTGATTTGGGGGCGGCTGCCATGTGCAAGGGGCCCAGGGGCGCCCCCAAGCCAAGTTCGTTCCCTTGGCTGTGGTTTCGCTAGGCAGGGACAGTGGGAATCTCGTGAATCCATTCATGCGTGCCACTAACTAGATGACGAGGCATTTGGCTACCTTAAAAGAGGCATAGGAGCGTGTTCCCCCAGCAAATGATCTCTGCTAGACAGGTGGGACCCATCTCTTTCTGACCAAACTCACCGCTCAACAGCACTCCTTCTTCGGAACGCTCCGAATTCCTTGCAGTTTTCCACGGTGCCGAAGCCAGTTGGACAAAAGGGGCGGAGCCCACTGAGTTGGGAGGTTGCAAGGAGCATGAGGTTACAAACCGTTTCTCCGTTGCCCATGACGAGGTTTGCTTTCAAAACTCCAAAAAAAAAAACGAATTCCAGCAACCTTGGACTTGGCAAATTGCTCCAATGCCCGGGCATTGGAACCAGGAATCGCCACTTCATCCCGGCCGCACACACTCGTTGCACCCAGCGAGGTCACAACTTGCCCAGATTTCAGTCCTAGTCCTCGGGCTTGATTCCTTTTCCATTCTTCTCAACCATCCTTCTTTCCCAAAAACTGGGCCGTCCCCCGGGTGTCCGGGTCTTGAGTTCGGATCCCTGGGTTCAGAACCCGAGACCCAAGCCATGGAACCGCAGCCGAGCCGATCGGGCCTGAAAGCCCCGGCCCAGGCCCCCTAGTCGAATCAGCTTCCTACTCATTGGAGCCCGGTGGCGTCCCACTGATCTGCAAAACCCAGGTTCGAACCCCCGAACCACCAATCCAAACCAGCAACCAAGTCTTAAGATGGGGACCTTCTGCTGGATTGTACAAAGGAAAACTAATCCAAACCACCAAGTAGGGGTTATCCTTCCATTTGGTTAAGACCCCTGGAAACAAATATGTCCAGTAGTCATAAATTCACATTTAAAACCAACAAGGGGGAACAAAAAACACTTAAGCAAATGGAAGTATCTCATAGGGCTTTCCGTTGAATCCATCCCCGCTCGGCTCGAGGTGGCGTGGGCATCGTGGGCCCCCCGGCTGCGCCGGCTGCCCGTGCACCGTGCCCTGGGTACCGCACCTTTGGTCCGGACCCTACCCTACAGCCCGAGGTTGAAAACCTGCGAAGAATTAACCTTTTCCCCCCCAAATGTAAAAACTCGTAGGTAGATAGATATACTAGATCCTCCAGATTTGAGAGGTTAGAATACGGGTACCCTTTGAAAAAAGGGTAAAAGGGCAGCACCATGGGGCCTAGTATATAGGAATCACACGTACCCCTCCCCCCAAAGATCTCCCCGAGAAAAACGAAACTGGGAGAACCATGTTTTATTGGAGGCCCCCGGTTCCTTCCTCTTCAGTCAGCCAACCACTTAGTGCTACCGTGTGGGTTTAGGATTGGCCTACTCTGAGTCGCGAGTATTGGCGACTTATGATGTTGGAGAATTCTTGCTTTTTGAGGGTACCTGTTTGTTGGGGGCTTCAAGGGGAAATCCACGGTGCAAGTCATTATAGGAAGAACCTGTTCATTAGGCGATGAGCTTTGTGGCGGATCCAAGACACCAAGAGTCCTCGAAACGTGAAATGGCCAAATGGTGGCTTAAGCAGAAACCGTGTCGCAAGCATAAAAGGGTGTGTCTTTTTTAAGGTTGGACCCCTCCAAACTTGGTGGGTTGTGTTTTTAGTTTCCTATCCCCCCCCCCAAAAAAAAAAAAAAAAAAAAAAAAAAAACAGAGAGCAGCCCCACAAAATAGAGAAGCCACTCACTTTCAGGAATCCTCCAAAGCAAGAAGACCTTTTGGAGGTTCTGGGGTAGCTGGGGTTAGCCCCCTTACGGCTGTGGTTACAGCCCAACTAGGTGGCATGAAGTTGAACATCCAAGTGCTTGCTTTTTCTCGGCATGCTAGATGCTTTTAGGGGAAGTTGATCTATTTGGCCTGCAACGTCAGAGGCCTCGCTCTCACCAGTCATGCAAGCTGGCACTTGGCGCTCTTAGGCCCGAGAAACCTAAACCTGGTAAACCATGCCATCCCCATGAGTTCCCGGGGGACGAATCATCGCAACCAAACGTTTGTTGGCCTCAAGTTCCGGCTTTGCCACCGGTGCAAAAACTCCCACCACCCCTGCAAGATTTCTCAGTTTCCCAAAGGACCCAGAAACACAAGGCTTCACGGTGATCGCCGAACACCACAGCTCGCTTTAGAAGTCGACTCGCTGGCCGGAGCCCCGCGAACACGGTGAATCCCTCGCTTTGGCTCGCGCTTGTGGTCGTCCCGCCAGTGTGTCTCGGGAGCGCGGGCGGCGCGGAAGCGGCGCGAGCCCCGAGACGGCTTGGGGCGTTCAGGGATCTCAGGGCTTCTACCGGGTGGTTGGGGCGATCCCCAGATCCCCAGAGGCCCAACTATTTTCCGGCCACTTTTGCCAAAGGATGGGCTAGTGGGAAAAAGTGACTGGAGAAAGGCGGCTCCTTGGCCGCGCTTCTCAGCTTTTTCTTGCCGAATGGTTGCGGGGGGCCGGGGCCTGTGATCCAAACTGGGATCAGAAGGCCTGTCACCAAGGGGTGTCACCCTTGGTATCGCAAATTGGGTTCAATCAAGGGTCAATCAGCCCAACCTCCACAATCATGCGCACATGGGTCTGTTTTTCATGTCCATCATCATCATCATCATCATTTTCATCATCATGTTCATCGTCATTTTCATCATCATGTTCCTCATCATGTTCATCATCATCCTGATCATAATCATCACTACGCATCCTCAGCATCACCAGCAGTTAATGAGCAGATATCATGACATCCTCTGCATTTCTTCTCGGGTCTATCGGCACATTTGAAAA